ACCACAACAAAGAAGAAGAAGCTTCTGAGCGTGGAGCTGGAGCAGAACGGCGTGCAGATGACGCAGCTGCAATACGATAACAAACTTTTGCTGTCCAGAGCCGAGGAGGCTGAGAAGCAGACAAAGACCCTGCGGGAGGAGGTTGAAGAGCGCGATCGCACACTGCACGAGGCAGATAGACGGCGTGAGGACGAAGTTGACGAACTGCAGCGCAAGCACAAGCGCCAGACCGAAGACCTTCATGACGAGAAGCGCGCACTGCAGAAGACAATCGACGAGCTGCAAGAAACGCTGGATGCCACAAAATCCAGTCTGCGCACAAAGAGAGAAGACTGCACACGTCTTGAGGCCACGGTATCCAAACAGGCCAACGATCAGATTGAGATTGAGAGCAGCAACCGCAGCTTGAAGGCCAAAGTCGAGTGTCTGGAGAACGAAATCAACGGACGCGAGATACGCATTGCTGAGCTGGAGGAGGGTCTGGCGTCGCGCAGCCAGACAGTTGACGAGCTGGAGGCGAAGCTGCGCAAGGAGGAGACGCAGCGACGGAGGCTGCATAACACTATCCAGGAGCTGAAGGGGAACATTCGCGTGTTTTGCAGAGTGCGTCCCCTGCTTGACGGAGAGAAGGACGCAGCCGCAGCTCTTCCTGTCAGCCTTCCAGACTGCGACGACAAGAACGAGATTGAGCTGCTCCAGTCGTCTGAGACGGCGCTAGGCAAAACCACATCCAAGACGTTTCCATTCAAGTTTGACCGTGTTTTTGCGCCGCAGTCGTCGCAGGACGAGGTCTTTGAAGAGGTGTCGCAGCTTATCCAGTCAGCGCTGGACGGATACCCTGTGTGCATATTTGCGTACGGACAGACTGGCAGCGGCAAGACTCACACTATGCAAGGCCCCGACACTCTTGGCGCAAACGCGGAGCTTGGCTGTCTTGGTATTATTCCGCGCGCCGTCGGACAGATATATGAGAACACAAGCAAGCTTGCCGAGCGTGGGTGGGAGTACACGCTGGAGGGGCAATTCCTGGAGATCTACAACGAGACGCTGCAGGATCTTCTGGCCCCAGCTGGTCGCTCAGCTTCGGCTGGCAGCGACAAACAAACCAAGCTCGATATCTACCAAGACAGCGAGGGCCACACGCGGGTGAAGAATGTGACTACAGTCAAGGTTGACAGCGCCGAGCGAGTGCGCTGGCTTCTGGCTAAGGCTGCCGAGAACCGCACTGTTGCTGCAACCAACTGCAACGAGCGGTCGTCTCGCTCACACAGTGTGTTCACGCTCTATCTCTGCGGAAAGAACAGTCTGACCGGCGAGTCGTCGTCGGGTGTGCTGAATCTTATTGATCTTGCGGGGTCTGAGCGTCTCTCTGCCTCGGGTTCCAGCGGAGACCGCCTGAAGGAGACTCAGGCAATCAACAAATCGCTGGCGTGTTTGGGCGATGTGATAGCCGCTCTAGCCAAGGGGAACCGTCATATTCCCTATCGGAACTCAAAGCTGACGCACCTGCTGCAGGAGTCGCTGGGTGCTGGTAACTCTAAGACTCTTATGTTTGTGTGTGTTAACCCCAGCCCTGCCAGTACTCAGGAGTCGCTCTGCTCGCTCCAGTTTGCTACCAAGGTCAACTCGTGCCAGATCGGCACAGCCCGGCGCCAGGCTGCGTCGTAAATACTTTCTGTTTCTAATTCCGCCTTTTTCCGTTTCTCGTTTTCTGTTCTCTCTTTCTCTAACCAGCCGTATATTTATTAGTACATCTTGACGCTTGTGCGGCCGGACTCCCAGCAAAATATATATACAATGGGGGATGTCGGGCTTTCAGTGCTAGCGATAGCCCCTGTATCCCTGTTGGGAGTGAGGGGCGTAGAAGCGAGAGTTTGGATTAAGAAGGTCGTCCAGGAGCCCAAGCAAAGATGAGGAGCCGTAGGGTCGTGATGCAGAGTTGCTAGCAACGGCTCCCACCGGACAAGAGCAGGGTGTTCGGCTGCTTAGCCATCCTGTGTTGCGACATCCCGGACAGACAACCGCATAGGAGACTGGATACGCACCATAGGGTGCCTGATACGGCGGATAGTGGGGTGCTATTTGTCCTGGATAGCCGCCATTTGGAGCAATGCCTTGGGCGGCGTGGCTGTTCCGACCGGATGAGTAGCTTCTGTTTCGCTGCGCAGACGGCCCCGACACAGCGTCCAAGGATGGCGCTGACAAAATGGGTCGTTCCAGCCGCCTTTGTTCTTCTGGCTGGGCGCGTGTGCTCGAAGTGCCCGCGACAGAAGATGCGTATGCGCGGTCGTCCCGTATGTGTGGCAGCGAGTTGTGTGTTCGGGGTGCTACTGGCGGCGCTGACTCAGTTGGCTCGTGCCCAGAATTAAGGCGCGGTGGCAGCCTGGGAGTTGTCTGTCTGGAAGCTGCCTGTCTGGAAGCGTCCTGTCTGTGGTTTGCCTGTCTGGGTGGCACCGGAGGGACTCCTGCGCTGCTAAAGTACTGCCGCGTGTAATGGCTGCGTGGGTCCGATGGATTAACAACTACATGAGGCGACTGAACTCGAACAATTGGCGCCCCTGCTCCCGCGTCTATGTATGTCTCGTCTGCTCGCGGAAGAAGCGAGTACTCTGGCGGCGGCTCCTGGAATAGCAGCGACTCTCGGTCCCTCTCTTGCCGATTGCTCGATGGGCTGTGAGGTGGGGTTGGCATTTGCTTTTGTGCAATCTACGGTTGATTAAAGGAGTGCGATTCGCGCTGATTCAATATGTTATAAGGAGGCCTCGTTGACTTCCTCTATAAACCGATACAGAAGCAATAATAAAATAAATGGCAAAAATTAATAAAGCGGAAAGAAGAGGGGCTGCGCTTTCCACAAAGCACCTCTTCCCACAACCACAAGTCTTGGCGTCTTGGACTTTTTTTTTCCGTACCAAGTCCGCTTTCTCTATACTCTGTGCGTGGCGATATCTCCATGCAGCACACCCTTATTCTCGAAAAAGTAAGGCATGTGCCCAGTTCATTGATAACTCTTTGGGCCAGGCGATAACCTTGCCAGATTATTAATCAGCGCACACCTTGCCCTTTCCTTCGTTGTCCTTGGATGTTGAGCAAAACATGTGCTATTCTGTGGCTATTTTTAGCAAATAATATGTTGGGCGGGTCTGGCCTAATGGCATGCAAGGACGGACTTTATAAACTCCCCATCTTCTGCTCTTTTGATTATCGCTAGGTTTATTCAGACATTTCCGCCACCTCACCTGTCAGCCCCGGAAACACTCCACCTGTGTGTGGGGTTTTCATTGCCAGCTCTGCCAGCGGTTGCCACATATCTTGGCCGTATTCTTTACTGGTGGTCACTGGTTTTGGATGGTATTCACAAGTAAACATGTGTCCTTGTGTTTCCAGCACTCTTCAGTTTTGGAAACAGGCATTCACGCACTTCAGCTTCCGGGTAGGCCTCGGGGGTACAGTCAAATTCCTCTAAGCTGATACAATTCAAACAAACTAATCATGCCATTGTGGTTTAATCGGGGCCAGAAGTGAGCCAATTGATATGACTGGAGCTTATACTGCAGTTAGTGTGAATTCATAAAGCATGATCAGGCATGTAAATGGACATCGTGAAGGTTCTAACATACAGTAGCTACACAGCAACGCTAAGCAAAGTTAACAGATTGATGTTTAACAGAACTAGGATTCCGCATGGAAACATATAAATTTATCAACTACTACTTTTTAGCCATATAAAATATATTAAAAATATTATGATATAACTACGAGTACTTGAGAATATTAACATTTATATCTAATATTAATTTATAATCGCTACAATATAACGTTTGGCATCCGTGGACATTAAAACAAATGTTTTCTACACACTAAACCAGCCAAAATTATCAAAGTTATATAAGCTCAAGCGGTTATATGGTATTCTATATTATCTGCTATTAATTTTCTATGCAAGCCTTTAAGCGTGGACAGACAAAATGAAAATGTCTATCAAGATACGCCGCTTTCTGTGGTTTTAGCATGTGCGCAAAACTGAGGCAAGGAGGAAGTACCATTTTACACATATTTGTCGATTTCTACAATATCGGATTAGATGAATTCAACTGTATTCTTGAAGTAAAACATATTGAATAAAGCAGCTTGACTTTTTTAATCTTGACAGCAAGTTTTCTCAAACTCCAAAAATTTGTCGCAAGTCTTTCTTACTCTGTTGAAAGCACCTTGGCGCAGAGGAAGCGCGCAGGGCTCATAACCCTGAGGTCGTAGGATCGAAACCTACAGGTGCTACTGTTTTGTTTTTCGTTCTTTTATCTTTTTGTATTATAAGCGCATGCAAACTTCTATACACCAACAATAGATCCCCTATTTCTGTTTTACTGTCAACATTCAGCACATTGCTCTTGTACTTTTTTAATATATATGCGTGTAGCAATATACTGCCGTCCCCGAGTGAAACTAATAGTTGTATCCGTCAGCATACCTCAAGGTTTGCTGAATATAAATTGAGAGACTCTTGGCCGTCATAGTCATCGCAATGAATTTTTTTCACAAACAGTCATTTGAAATTGCTAATATTCTCACTCCTCTCACCTGCTCCGCGTTTAACAACTTTACCAAAAACATTCAGATTATCGTCATGCGCCTCTACGCTATTGTTTCATTGCTCGTCTGCGCTGTTGCTGCAGCGCCCCTTCCGGCTCAGCACATTCCCTACGACGGCCTTCTTGGCGGTGTTGTCAAGGCAGCTGCACCCGTTACTGGTGCTGTTGGCGAGGTTGTAAACAGACTTACCAACGATCTCGGACAGGGCCCTCATTAATTATTAGCTTTTCTCTTAGCGGCTGTCATTTTGCCTTGGTATTCTCTTGTTCTTCAATATAAATTGGTAACAATTTAATGTTTTCCTGTGGTCCTTTTCTGGGTAAAAGAGTCATTGTTTAATTGCAAGCGTTTTGGTAATTAGTCTAGACATATAAGCGTGTCATATTTAACATAATAAAGCTGTTGGAGATGACTACTTTAAGTTAAATGGCAAAACACTCCTCTGGCCATCAACATTTGAATCCAGCCCTTTTTTGGTTTGTTTGTAAAGAAAGTTAAATTGTCAAGCCCCTTGCTAGATTTAAAGCCACCATGTTGCTATGGTTGACATTATTCTGTTAGTTTATATTGTTAGTAAAGTAGTAACAAGCTGAGCTGTGGTATATGCCTATTGTGTTGAAAAGAGGGAGTGGTATGCGCTTCTGTTGGATTGTTGGTTGCCTTGTTCCCTCTTTTATTTCTTATATGTGGCTTTTCCGATTGTTTTGAATATAGTCTATTGTTCATCCCAGTTGCATGGTCTTTTTTATATCTTTAATACAATTTATTCCATCTCAGTTTTTGTTGAAAGAGCATTGTCTGGCATATATTTTATTCATACTGTTTCTGGGTTTTGTGGATTGCATCATTACTATATTTTCATCACTGTTGAGCGCCTTGTTTATTTTTCCAAAGCAAACATTCCACATTGTCTTGGTGGTCTGTTACTCCCTCGTTTTAGTCTGTGTTTTGCTTTAACTCAACATGTATTGGATAATGCATTGCTAGTCATTCTTGGGTTGAGATATTCGTTTTTGTAGTTTTTCCAAGCCTGTTTATATCATTTGAAAATGCACACAAACAGAAGAATGCTATCAGAAGCGTTGAGAAAGAGAGATGTACGACGCCACTTGCTATTTCTCTATTATTGAGGAATCCTTACATCTACTGCTACAATAATATTCTTCTTTTAAATACGCCAATCGCCCAGATTTTTTAAGGACATCCTTGGTTCCCTAAAACACACACCTTTCTAGTTCTTTCGTTCCAGTCTCAAGGCTACCTGCAACATCTTGCCTACCTAAACACTAATATCCTTTTAACCTCCGTTAACCCTTTTTCCATTTATCTTTACATTTAAATTGCATTACCGATTAAACCATGCGTATTGTTGCACTCTCCACTCTTATTGCTGTCGCTTGTGCTGCGCCATTGTCCGTTAGACAGACATTTGTTGGCGAGTCCGATGCGGAGAGCAAGCAGGTCAATGGCCCGGTGGCTTTAGATCATCCCAATATCAACAACGGAGCCTTGCAGGAGGGATCTCTTGACTCTGGTCTCTCGTTTGATGGAGCAGTCATTGAGGGTGCGTCTGGCAACTCGCTGACTGATATAAATACTAACCTCGATTTCCACGACAACACCGTCTTGAATCCAACGCTCAACTTGGCATCAAACACTGAGGGTGGGGCCATTGTCGGTAGCGGGAACCAGATATTTACGCCTGGAGGCGATGGCACCAAGAACATTGTGTTTAAGCGCAGGGAGCCTGTTGATGTTACCAATGTCAACGCGCCCGCAGCAGTGAATGATCCGACCATCAACAACGGCGCTTTGAGCGACGGATCGATGGACTCTGATCTTTCCTTTGATGATACGAACATTTCAAACCCAGTCGGTAACTCTCTTGCACAGGTCAATGACAATACAGATGTCAGCGACAACAACTTTGTTGATCCCACTTGGAATGACATTTCGGGCAATGTTGGCCCTGCGCTGGCTGGCAACGACAACGTATTTATCCCGATCAACAACGAGGGAATGATTGTCAACCTTGATCCTGGGTTTATTGAGGCTCAGCAAGCCAGCCAGAGAGCTCTGATCAACCACTTTGTTCATCCTGGCTTTGCAATCTAGTTTATTTTATTTTAAATGATATTATTAAATTAAAGAGAGTGGCTAGCAAGATGTCAAGACTTTTGAAGCAACGTGACTGGGAATCCAACACTTGTCAGTATACTAAGTACCCCTACGTTCTCTATCAACGCCATCTCCTCGTTGGACTTGCATAGAAATAGCCCAGAGTATCCAAGCGAGTTTACGCCTATTCCATGCCATCTGCTGTGGTGTCTAGGGAACAATACAAGCGTGTTCGCAACCAAGATCATGTTGTAGGATGCATTCTGGCCATATCGGTCGGTCAGTGCCTTGAGTGCTGAACAGTACGCTGCCAAAAGAGTGGATGGTGTAGGTGGACCAGTGCCTAGCCAGACACCAAAGTTTGCGAATGGCAGGCTTTTTGCTGTGTGCATGGTCCCTGGCAAGGGATTGTCGTCAAGCCAGCGGCCGAGTAAAGGTGGAAGGTCAAGATACTCTGGCATTGGCAGCAGCTGCAAGTGCTTGTGCGGCTGGCTTGCTCCTGACTCCTCTCCAGAATTGTAAAACACAATGTGCTGGCGTGACATATTGTTGGTGGTATCCAGAACTGCAGAAAAGTCCTTCTCCGTCAGAGGCTCGCCTTGCTGCTCATAGCTCGCAGTGGTAATCAGCAGATGATACGGCACCACACAGTACTTGTTTAGAAGCAGGTTGTGCGATGAGCCAAGGCTTTTGACAAACAGTCTTGTGTCAAAAGGCAGAAACGGGTTGACAAAGCCTTTTGATTCTAAGGTTTCTTTTGGCTTGTTGTTTGGCTTATTCGCAAGTGCAGGTACATATCGTACTTCGAATTGCACGCCATCTTCCTTTTTGAAATGAACCACCGATTCTGAAAATAATAGCGCGCCTTGAGCGACTGCGCTTGCGTAGCGTTCACGAACAAGACTATCCAGCGCTTTGGCCATGAGAATGATTAAATATATCTTTACACACAAAAGATAATAAAGGGAAAGATACAAATAAGAAAAGAACGGATGGTGTCGATATAGGGTGATGATGATAATGAAACTGATTTATTTGCCGACCCCACTATGGGTTATCAGCCAGCAGACTCTCTTAAGGAGCTCAGTTGAACAGAACTGCAGCCGCACGATGCCAGCACTAGTGGATATTAGCATTGGATATCTGCGGCAATAAACCACAGCATAGCCGCGATTCCTGTCCTTTGCTCAGAAAAGTAGAAAATATAATAAAACTTCCTAAAAAAACCCCAAGCAATTGGAGGCAGTCAGAGCTGTTTAATGACTCTGAATTCTCTGGCCAGCTTTACGCTTTGGTCGTATGGGCATAACTCATAGAGTCTTCCTCTCACAGCCTAGATATGGATGGAACTAGGGTTGCCTCATTATCTAACATCGCTGCGCATGCAGGAGCCCCGATCTCTTTTTCTGATCCAGTTGGAGGTCATTGCACTCCCTCCATCGGCTGTGGCTAAACTCGACTTTTTTCTTCTAAAAACTGAACATTAGAATGAAAGTGAACGACGCTCCTTACTGCTCTGTATCGCAAGCTCAATGATTCTGATGACATTTGCGGCCTGCTGAGCTGTGACCATCAGGTCAGCATCTCCAACAACAGCAGCTGCTACATTGTCATAGTATGCCTGGTAGTTTCCGTCAACAGTGGTGACAACACCTTTAACGTGAATTCCTGAAGATACCTCTGAATCTAGTGTGCCAAAGTTGCCAGGTGCATCTTTCCCGTAGGCAGGGCTTTTAGGTGAAATACCCTGCTTGAGCTGCTGCTCCTGCACATCCAGGCCATATTTTGTGAATGACCCGTTTGTTCCAAACACAGTAAACCGAGGTGGTTTGTCACGAACAAGCATGCCTGCACGGCACACAGCCTTAAAGTTCTTTGATGGATAGTCAAGGATCACCAGGAAAGAATCATCTGGGCCGCCTTTTATCTCGCGTTCGTTGCATAAAGTCGCTGTTACATACTCGGGGGTACCGTAGAGAACAACTATCTGGTCAAAAAGGTGTGCTCCCAGATCATATAGCACCCCACTTCCAGGAAAACCGCCAGCCTCACGCCAAGCATTTTCCTTTTTAAAGGTACGGTACCTATCAAAGCGGCTTTCAAGCTCAACAACACGCCCAAGAACATTGCTTGACAAAAGTTGTTTGATAGTTAAAAAGTCGCCATCCCACCTTCTGTTCTGAAAAACACTTAGCACCCTCCTTGACTCCTTGGCAAGCAGATCCAACTCGCGCGCTTCCTTTTCAGTGACTGTAAAGGGCTTCTCAACAACACAGTGTTTTCCTGCTGTGAGTATCTTTCGGACATAAGCAACGTGTGTATCGTTTGGAGTTGTAACAATGACTAGGTCAAGCTCAGCAATATCCAGCAATGAATCAATGTCTCTGACTATGTGCACTTGTGGATAAAAAGACTTGCTGTTTTCAGAGTGACGTTCTACAACAGCACAAAGCTCATATTTTTCGCTAGCAGCGATTAATGGGCAGTGAAAAACCTGAGCAGACATGCCAAAGCCAACAACACCAACTTTGATACGTTTTTGTGGCATCTTGTGAAAACAAAGATAA